TGAATTGATTCAATCTTTGCAGGTTAGTGTAACCTGGCTAGGTTGAACCAGTTTGTAACCGTACAGAGATTCCCTCTGGACTGAAGAAATGCGGACACATGCCTGCAGTGGCTCAGACTAGAAGCCAGGGGGCACTAGAGCAGCCCTCCCTTCCCTTTTACAGTGCTGAACTGAGGGGGGCATGGCCAGGCCCCAGCAGGATGCTCTGATTAGGGAAGTTCTCCCCCCCCTCACTGCTCCTGATCAGTGAGGGAGCCAGCAGGGAGTTGATAACAGAGCACTTAGCACCCCATCAAGAAAACAAAAGCCCTTCTCATTAGTTCAAGCTCAAGAAGTAGCAATTTCTGTCACTTAATAACGGGTGATAATACTGTATTTATTTGCATTCTACATGTACCTTTCCCCCAGAATTAGTTAGTCCTCCCAAATTGTGGTGCATGTCTTAAGTGAGAGAAGGTAATTTTCTGCCTGGAATGGAAGCACAGAGATGCTGTGAGGTGTCTGCTGCTTCTTTTCCTTCTCTTCTCTCCAGCAGCTGAATGAAGGGAAGGACAGAGTCCAGTCTTCAGTAGCAGCTACTGTTTTTATCCTTTCACAGTGGATTGGAGCAGGAACAGAGCCTAAAGCTCACCTCATTCACCTTCCCTTTCCTGCTCAGGCCAAAGCAGTCAATTAATCTGTGAAGGGGGTAGAACTGTAGCTTTTGCCTGGGCAGAAAAGAGAGGGTGAGTGAACGAAAGGATAGGCTTAGTCCCTGCTCCTGGCTGCATAACTCAGGGAAAAAAATCTTGTTTTTTCTTCATTTTGTCTTCCCAAAAACAAGATGTCTGATTTATTTGGATGCATGTGGTATGTGAGAAAATACAGGAGGCAAGCACTATGTCTGTCTGCATTTTTAGTTATTCAAATATCTATATAAATGTATATATGAAAATTGAGTTCAGCTCTCAATCATTCATACCAGCTAAAACCAGTTATTTAATATTAAGGACTTGAAGAAGACAGAACTTTGTATCAAAAGTTGGGATAGTTTTGTAGTTTACTGTCAGATTGAACCATTTTTTCTGTTTTTCCTATTGTACCCAGTGAAGTCTAAATCTCTTTGGAGAAAACTTGCTGATTGAAAGTTTGAAATAACTGATCCATTCCAGTAGCTTCTCTGATACCACCATGATTGCCCTCCCAAAGCAGCAACTATATTTAGCTTGTTCTTTGACTCTTTCTAGGATGGCTGCATAAATAAACCTTTCTTGGCAGCATTTTTCAGCACAGAGATCTAAATTTTCCAAAGCAACTATTGATTTGGGGTGTCATAATCTGGAGGAGCCCAACTTTAGACACTTTACAAGGGTCATAGAGTAAACCCTTATTATTTTCTGAAAAACTGGTCATTTTCAGTTATCTGGGCCAATACACCCCAAATCACTAGTCACTTCAGAAAATGTAGGCTTGTTTTCATTTATTTAAGATACAGTGCTTTCATCCTAGTCTTACCTACACTAGGAGAACTCTGTAGAGCCAAATTCTCAGTTGGCATGATTGCACTGACCTCACTGGAGTCAAACTTATAGTGTATTTGGCTTATTGACTAGTTGGTTATTCCTGATTGACTTCTAGGTATGTGGAAGCAATGTGACAGATATGCCTGTGCCTAATTGTGTGTTCCATTTGATTTCTGTACACTGTTTGTTATTGTATCTGTCACTATGAATTATATCATCCATTTTGCAGCAGAAGTTTGACTTATAAGAGGGAAACTATCTGGAAAAGTGTGACAATGCCATCAGTGGCCATCAGCATTGAGCAGTTTTCCCTTGTGGAAACAATGGGTTTGTTACCAGCAGAAACATTAAACCTAGTTTGACTATTTCCACTTCGCTGTGATCATACCTCTGAGAAGGGCTTTGTACCTGGAGGAGTGCCGAGGGACACAAAGCTAAGAACAGTAATCAGATATTACCCAGCACTCAGAAGCTTAGCAGTGCTTGGGAATTAGCAATTGGATCCCATCACAAAACATCAGTGTCCATCCAGACAGCAGAACTGGGACAAGCAGAATTAGACCAATGAGTACTACATACATCACCAGGAAAGGCATATTAGTTTGAACTGGAGGTGTGCTCCTTGGATGAATTTTATAATTTAACACAACACTGATGAGCACAATTAAGGTCAAGACGTAACGTGATTATTGGCTAGTGGTTGACATGTTTTGAAAGGAGAGACATGCCATGTTGTGCCCTAATTTACAACCCATCCATCCCTATGACAGTAAACACTGTTGTGCAATGTGCCCATTGGCCCTGAGTATTAAATGTGTTTTCCATAGACTCATGGTAAATTAATTCATTTTCATTGTTTTTATACAGAATGGAGGCAATACATTTCCACCCACCCTTCAATTCACCAGACTTGGGCCAGTTCTGTGGTTCCCCAGATTTCATTACAAAGAGATCAACTGGGCCCTCAGAGGATGCACTCTTCTTTGAATTAGTTTTGCCTCCTTCTGCAGCTGCTATGATCAATGGGACCACAACAGTAACCAGATTATCCAAATCTCCTGCAGCAGTTCATACAACTCAAGAGAGAGACTCAGGTAAGCCCTCCAAAATTTTACATACAGTATAACTAAAACAGGGAATTGGAGAAATTGCAGCTCCTTGAATGATGTAATTCACCATTAGATCCATCTAGAACAAGGAAATTAAGCAAAAAGAACTGGCTTTTCTATGTGACATAAGTTTTGTCTGCACTAGTTACAGTCTTATTAGGGAATCCAGTTACAACACAGCTATGCTCCAAAGACAACACTTTCTGGTTTTATGCAGACCAGGCCAAAGTATATTACAGTAATTTTAAGAGAATTTGCTATAGCTCATCACTGGTAGGTGTATAGCATACCCCTCCAAACATTGTAATTGAGTGATACCGAGTTGGTTGAAAATTGAAATTTTCCATCCAGTCAGGAATTCTCACATTTTGAAATATGTTTTCAGGATAAATTAAGACAAAAAATATAAAAAATTGAAAGAATTTATGGAGCCAAATGTATGGACAATTTTGAAATGATATGTTTAACCTAAACAAATATCCTCTGACATCCCTGAATGGAAACATTTCATTACAATTTGTCATGCCAAATCAGAACACTTAGTTTTGGTTCAATTTGACCCCTGAATGGCTTCTGACTGAGCTTCTTCATTGCCTCTTGGGAGTTTGAGTTTTAGTACCTCATCCTAGGTGACATTTATTCAGTGAAATATGTGGTCTGGTCATCCCCAAACCATTTGTAAATTCAGACTGATTTAACAAACAGTATTAGCGAGAAAACAATTTTCAAGGCAGTTGCTACTGGTCTACTTTTACCCAAGAGCAGAGGGTGATCAGCTAGGTGCTAAAACTCTGGATATCCCACAACAATGCCCTAATCATTAGATTATAGTGGGGGTGGGCAAAGTCCAGCCCATGGGCCAGATTGGATCCACAGTGGCCTCAATTTCCCAGCAGCCCTTGCCCAAGTCTCTGTGGCTGGTTTCCATGGAGAATAGCCTCAGTAGTGCTGGCGGGGCACGCAGCTGGTCAGGAAGCTGCTTTGGGGCTGGGATCTGGCAGCAGTGACAACGTGGTCCAGAACTGGGGCAGAGCTGTGATCCGCTGCCTGCATACCCTGGACAGGGGCATACAGGCAGCAGACTGAGGCTCAGCCCCAGCTCTGGACTACACTGTCACCACTGCAAGATCCCAGCCCAAGCCATGGAGCCCATCCCTGCCCAGCCGGCACTAATGGGACCCGTCTCAATGGAAACCCTGGCCCCGTGCTGTCATGGCACTGCCACTGCTGGGGTCTCCATGGAAACTGGCTATAGTGATCTGCCAGCCAGATCTGTCATTGTCATTTTGCCCACACTTGGATTATAGGGTGTTCTGCAAAAAGGGCTCTCTCAGCCTTTTTTGTTCCCAGATTCACAGAAGTTTAGGGCTGGAAGGGACTTAATGAAATCATCAGGTCCAACCCCCCTGCTCTGGGCCCTTTCCACTTTGCATATATACTTAAATATTGACTGAAGCAGGGACTGGGGCTGAGCTGTTCTATCTCTTTCTTGAGTGTTCTAACCACCAGACTGGAAAGTCATTCTCTCTTTCAGTATCAGTATTACTTAGTATTTAAATATTTTATATGGAATTAAACTGTCCCAGCAGGAGAGAATGAGGGAGCCCCTCAGCATAGGGTATCCCTGCTCTGTGTCAGGTAGAGGGTACATAAATATGAACTCCTTACCTCCCTGGAGAGTTTCTTACTCCTGAGACTGCCCAGGACCCTGGAGTGGGCTTCTCAACTTCTCAACTGAAGTACACAATAGAAGTCTCAAAAATGCTCATTTATATTGTATCCTGAGAGTCAGGCAGGCAAGCGACAGGTACGGGGAAACCGGAACCTTGGCCTTTCTTCACCATCCTACTATACAAGGGAGCCAGCTTCCCATTAATCTGTGGTGCAGCATAGGCAGAGGCCATGTTTGCCTGAGGGCAGACTCCTCCTCTTCAAAGACACAGTTCCCGACAGTCCCCTGCTCAGTTCTTGTGGCTAAATGCCACAGTTTTAGGACCAAATTTATGCACCCAAATCCCATGGCATTTTGGTAGAGTTTGGGAGCCTAATACACTGAGGCATTGTTAAAATCCCAGCCATAGCCCATGGTATTCAGTAATACAGGAGAAGAAGCTATTAGTGTAATCTGAGAAACAGACTGGCTTATTGACAGATCTCTAAAAATCATCTTCAACACAGTCTGTTCATTCTTGTGCTGGTAGCCCTACTACCACTCTGAACATGGGATCCAACAAAGACTTTAGCAGAGAAAAACAGACTGCAAGAACTCATCTTGTTTCCTGATTACAGAGCTTATTGGCCTCTGCCCTACCAAGTCCCCAGACACTATTCCTAGTTAGGTTAATCCTTTACAAAATTCACACACTGTTAAGCTGCATACCTGCCATGGCCCTCTCTTTAGCCCACTGAGCTGTAGCATTTAACCTCCTTATTACCCATTTGTTATTATACTTGGCTGCTACCAACTGTTCATTTGCCAAGAAGATGAGAATCTGTTTCATTGCCCAAGGAATGGAACTGCAGGTTCATCTGAGCATTAACACAGGGTATCTCAGGGGAAGGCACTACAAACAAAGTGTTAAACTAGGGCTCTGAGCTGTATCACTGCCCTGGTATAACACATTACCAGAAGGAGACACATAAACTCAAAATGCTTCTAGCAACAAAAAACAGCCACACTGAAAAGGAATAGCAGCATGCTTGGCTAGAGATAGCTTTCCTGGTATGCTGGAAAAGATAATCCACCCAGCAGTGACTTAATTTGTCAGGAAGGTAGGAGGTTAGAGCATACATGACTCTTGACCTATGGCAAAGCCAGTCAACTGCAGCACAGATTGTTATTAAAGGACTGTGGTGCAGCAGTGGCTGAAGAAGCTTTTGTTATCGACTGACATTGCATCTGCAAATGCTGTCCAGGTGGAATTGTGTCCAGGTGGTGAATAGTCCAGTTAATCTGAATTCCCTCTGCCTAGAAGCTGAATCTTCTACAGTCTGCTGTAATGTGATTACTACATACTTTGGAGAAAAAATGGTCTGTATCCAGCATGGTTTGCTGGACTAAAGCCAAGATGCTGTGAGATACAGAGCACTTCCTGGGAGATGAGGCTGCCCCCTATCCCTTCAGATCTGCTTAAGGACAGTTTGCCCAGCAAGGAATTTCTGAATCCAGGGAAGTCTTAAATGCAACAGTGGATGACAAGCATCAATAGGAACTGAAGGCAGCTTTTTGGGTCCACACTTCAACATCTCACAAGGAGAACTCTTGGTATAAGGGGCAGGGTTCATTAGCAGTGTTCACCACAGTCTGTCAGAGTGCAGAGCCTATGGTAGTGCCCAAGACCTTATCTCTGAAAGTCTTGAATATGTTGCAAAAAGTAGAATACAAAGTAGTCATGCATATTATCACATTCTGTAAGTGGAAGAGAGAGTGAATATATTCATTACCAACTCACAGCTGATGCTAGACCTTCTAGCAGCACTGAAATTGCAGGATGACAATTATACTGCTGATGGCATAATTTATTGTTTTTTAGCTACCCAAGGTAATTCTGACACTGTAATAAATCTACATCACCAGCAAAATATTTACTTCACCAGCTGTGTTTCATTTTATAGCCATAGGTTTAAAGTTTTTGTCATCAGGGCTCATTGAATACTGCTTTATATTAACAACTAGAGGGGAGAATAAGGAAATTAAATTATGCAGTTTTGATATTAAAAATGTAGTGTTCCTGTTTATTTGTCTTTGTATATTTTTCACATTACTCACCACATCCTTCTATTGCCCATTCAACAGCTACTTCTATCACTAGTACAAGCTCAGCAGAGTGGTCATGTCCTAACTGTATGTGCCCCAGCCCTGTTACAAGTATATCAGACCAAGGTCAAGAGGATATCAGCTCTTCCTATGCTGACTTGGAGAAGAATACCCAGCACCTAAGACATTTGGAGAGGACACCTTCAGCAGCTGAGGGTTACAACATTTCTGCATCCAGGTACACGTGCACATTACCTACCAGATGTTTAAGGACTTTGACATATTATATTTAAGGCTTGTATACATCCTTATAATCAGCCTAAATTTGCCCTTGTTTAAGTTCATTACCTTGCTATTAATTAAAACCCTTTGAGCCTAATATTTCTTCTGTCTTCTTGGACTGTTCTTCTTCAGACATATTTTCTGTCATCAATACTCTGTTGTGATTACCGAACTAACCCATACCTATTTAACTTTCTTGGTCTTATTTTTTTCTTCATAATTCAGACCATAATGATCTTTTGTGACCTTTCTATGATTCCTTCCAAATTGTCAGTATTTTCCTGGTAATGAAGTGCTCAGAAAAGAATACAGAGAGACTGATGATAATCTCACATCAGAATAAATCAAGAACGATGAATTTATTGTCAGTAGAGTTCTACTCAGATGAGAGGACAATGAGGATCAGTATTCCAAAGCTTCTCCAAAGCTGCTTAAGGCGAATCTATTACTTTCCTGCTCCCTTCTTTACATATGTGCAGCTACAATTGAGGCAGCCTTTTTTCTTTGTTTCTCTTTTCTTTCTTTTTTATTTGCAATCAGGTTGCAGGACTATCCTTGTCCTACCCTCCTTTCAACTTTAATGCTTTCCAGCTTTTCCTTCCCACTGAATATTATGCTTTTGATTACTACCTGCAATATATTAGCATGTAATTTTCTAAGCTGCAATGCACTTTATTTCCTACCTATATTTCTAGGCTCTCTAGAGTCCTGTGTGTTGTCTCTGTCCTCATTGGTGTTCCCCCATCATGCACCTCCTCTCAATTTAGCATTATCTACATACTTTATTAACTAGATGTTTTTCTTCCCACTTCTACCTCATAAGTGAGGATGTTCCATGTGATGGAACCTACAACCAATATCCGTAGGAATCCCACATAACACCTTCTGTCTTCTCTTTGTCTTGTTATTTGTTTGCAGCCCGACAGCCTGTTTATACAACATTATTTATATCCAAGTCAAGAAGAAAAAATGTTTTGAGAGGTACTATATCAAATGCTTTACTAAATTCCAGATCTTTGCTTTTTTTCCTGCCTCACTAATTTTGTAATTCTGTCAATTTTATTTACATTTTTCTTGAAGCTGTATATAGCAGTCTGTATACATCCCTAGTGCTTAGCAATTTTGTTTCCATAGCAAGACCCATGCAGTCCAGAACTTTTTAGGTATGGCTCTAAAAATAAGCCTTTGAAAAGCTAGCTAGAAAGCCCCAGTTGTTTCCTGCATTCTAAAACCATTTCCAAATAATGAGATATGCCATATTGTTTGACTGATTATAAAGGATAACTGCAGTTAAACACCGAAAGATAAAAAAGATTACCTTCTTTTCCATGTATTTCCTTGTATTGTGTGGCTTATTTTCTAATGGGGGATTGACTTCACATCTTGTCTAATATGGAAAACCAGAGAAATTATTAATTCTGCTAAATTGTAGAAGATAAAGAGAGTAATGTGATGACAATTTGCAGTGTGTGTGTGCATGCGCATGCATGTGCTTGTGTGTGTGTAGTTAGAATTGTTTAGTGTAAGAAACAGGCATTTAAAAAAAATCTTGTTTAACTCATTACTATCATGACATACAACCACACCAGAACACTAATGCCCTTTTGGACACATTCACCTTAAATCTAAAATCCATTCAATGTCAATGTACACATTAAATAATTGAAAATTATACTGTAAAGCATGACCATAATGCCAACCTGTTATTTTGTCATTTCATTAAATGACATGTTATTAAAGTATATATGAAATAGTGCATGTGCAGATATATCAATAATTAAATGGCTGTATAAATTCGTTAGTAGCATGTTTGAGGGTGTTCTTTTTATTAGCTTAGTTATTTTTATGTATTTTGATGTATTTGTTTATTTAGTAGATTTATGTGTCATCTTTCCCCAAAAAAGGTTCAGGGTAGATTGCAGTAAGAAAATAATGATAAAGACCAGTAAAATCTTAAAAATAATCCCTAAACCATAATCCAGGCTATCCTGGCTTGCTAAACACCTGCCCATATAGGAAGGTCTTAGAGCATTTTCAGATGTTCAGACTCAGATTCTGGCAGACCTCAAAGACAAAGGCATTCAAAAGCTAAGGAGTGACTATCAGGAAAGGCCTTCTGTATGTTTTTTCCAAGCACATTTGGTGCACTGATGGTACTTGCAGAAGGCTGCTGTCAACTGAGTTTAGGGATGGCATTGAGGCATAAGAAAGAGGGCTTTCCATTAGGTACATAGGGTCCAGACTGTTTAAGGATTTTGTGGGTCAAAACCAGTGCCTTGAATTGTGCTCAGAAAGCTACTGGAAGTCAGTATAGACTCTAGAGCACTGGAGTTTTGTGCTGCTAGTGACCCAACCCTGTCAGAAAGCAAGCCTTTGCATGCTGCATCAGCTGTAGCTTCCAGACAGTCATCATCAAGAACAGTCTCATGTAGAGCAGATTGTAGTAGCATAGACTCAAGATTACAATGGCATGAATGATGTGTAATGAGATCTGAATCTGAAAGGAAGTCTCAGCCTTCTCACCAGATGGAGCTGGTGAAAGGTACTCCTAGACACTGCCACCACCTGAAGATCCAGGTGCAGCAGAGGATCTAGGAGCACCCCAAATCTGCAAATCTGAGGGACAAAGGAAGGCTGAATTCTGTCAGTAATAGGTGTCCTAATCCTTCCCTAAAAGCCAAGTGGTCTACCTACCACCACCACTTCTGTCTTGTCCAGAATCAACTTCAATTGGTTCACCTACATCCAGACACTGGGAAAGGACAGAGACTGCTAACAGGGCAGATGAGAAAAGAAAAAGCAAGCTGAGTATGATCAGCATACTGATGACACTCCAGGCATAGCAATGCAGCTCGGTGCCCAGGGCAGCTATAACACATGGGGGTAGCAGTGACTTCCAATTGCCACTGTACCACTGGTGCAATGGTACAGCTGCAGCAGCAGCCATTCTTTCCCTATCCCCTACCTAAGTCTGTGCCTGGGACAGCTGCCCTAGTCACTCCACTCTAATTATGCCACTGATGGCACCTCACTTTGAATCTCCACACGATACACCCAGCAGCCTCATATACACTTTGAAGAAGAGAGACAATATCATGGAGCCCTGGAAGACCTCACATGAAAGGTCTGAAGGGAATATTGAGCTCTTGCCTGTCACCTTCCTCTTGGATCTTCAAAATTATGCTCCTAGGTTTACTCTACAGTCAGTGCCCTGCAAAGGGCAAATCAGAACCACCCAATGGTGAACATGGAGTCTTACGGAACTAGACAGTAGGAAATGCTGAGCACAGGAATGTCTGAACTCTGGCTTCTGTCCAGAGCTTAGTCATTTCAATCTTGATCTCCTTGGTCTAGATGGATCTAATGGTGAATTACAGCATTCAAGGAGCTGCAATTTCTCCAATTCCCTGTTTTAGTCATGCTGTATGTAAAATTTCTGAAAGTAGATGAATAACTGAGCAGGGCTGACTCTTTATAATTCAGCTGGAGAAGAAAAAGAATTGTAATTATCCCCACCTTTTGTATGATAGCCTAGTGGCTGCAGCATCACTTAGAAAGAGTCAGACAAGGATTTTAGGTCCTTCTTAGCCCAAACACATCCAACCCTACATCTCTCACCTGCCAAGAGAGTGCCCTGCCCATCAGGCTTTAGGCTATACTATGTGGGGATGCTCTCCATCTCCTATGGAACCTGGGTCACCATGTAGCAAAGAGTGTAAGAGTCATGGGGCCAGGAGATCAAGCAAGAGAGAACCTCATTCTATTCTGTATCTCATGACTCTCTAATGTAAAATGCCTAATCCATCTGGGAAACAGGGACCGGAAGGCACGTTTTTTTTCCCTTGCCAGCTACAGAACTGAACTACTAGACTCCCTCTTGCCTGCTCTCCTTCAGGTCCAATAAATTCTGCATTCTTGGCTGCACAGTGGTTCAATTTTAAGCCCACAAGTGGGACAGAGGGTGATTTGACATGCATAGTATTATACAGTAGGGCTGTGCAAAGCTTCAGTCCCTGATTCAATTCGGTGGGGATTCAGCCCGATTTGATGGCCGAATCTCTGAATCCAAATCAAATCAGAGGACACTTTAATCTCTCCGAATTGAATTGGAACCTTCCAAATCAATTTGGAGAGATTTGGAAAGATTCAGCGATTTGGACATAGACACAGCTTTAAATATTTTTTCTACATACCTCTACGTAGCAAGGGGCTCATGAATGCTGCGCTGCTGGGGCGCATGGAGTGTCATATAGAAGTGCAGGGGGCTCCCCAGCACACTCAGCTGGAGACCCAGAAGTGAACCAGAAGCACTTCCAGCTTCCAATCCACTTCTGGGCTTGCCAAAGAGCGTGCTGTCCCCACCCCCCATCCCACCCGGGCTCAGCAACTGGTGCCTCCTGCATCTGGGGGGGCACCCAGGGTTCCTCTGTGGCCGATCACTGAGATGGGTGTGGGGGGGGGCCCCCAGTGTGCTGCCCAGTGGACCTGGAAGTGCACTAGAAGTACTTCCAGTTCACTTCTGGGTTTGCCGCCAAGCACGCAGGGGGCCCCTGCTATTTGGAGTTGGAGTGTCTTATGGGACACTCCATCCACCCCAGCATCTCAGCATTCATAAGCCATGTCTGGCACCTTGAGCTATGTAGAAAAAAACATTTAAAGCTGTGTCTATGTTTGAATCGCTGATTCTCCAAATGAGCATCGGATCTTCGGATTCAGCTGAATTGAATTGGGGACGGTGATTCAAACCAACAAATCAAATCACTGTCCCTGATTCGGGCCAAATCCAAATCCAAATTGAAAAGAGCCCATTTTGCACACTCCTATTGTACAGCCTGATGCTTAGAGCTGCCTTTTGGAAGTGGGAGAAGATGGGTCCCCTGCTGCTTTATCCATCACACTCCTAGAACATTCTGACCATGGTCCCATTCCAGGTACCCTTTCCAAATCTCCTGTCCCCTTCAGTCCGGATTCAAGTCTTGCCTAAAAACAAGTCTTATTCTAGCACCTACCCTGGCACCTCCTGTTTCCATCCAATGCCAGCTGGTGCCTCTGTTGTTTCATAGTTTCTAGGGTCGGAAGGGACCTGAGC